GTGAGCTGAGAAAGAGGTGCCGATCGCACCGTTTGGCCCAAGTGTTGCGCACGTGTATGGCTTTGGACTCGTGGTTGGCGTATGTCGTGGTTATCATACAAAATATTCTCGGCTTTGACTGTATTCCTACTGTTTTGTTGTGTATTTTTACGTGATTTGCACGTATGTGTTGAGCACTTTTATCACGTTTATTATAGTTGTTGTATAGAGTATTACCGCTATTATATACAATTAATTTTAATATTATAATAAACAATAGCAATGTCATTGAAATGACGAGTATTTGTATATATTGTTTCTTATTTTTAAATAAGATTTTAATTTTTGTACCTAAAGACATAACTATTTTTGTTGTTAAACACAAATATTTTTAATGTAAGATGTGTTATAAAAATTAATGGCAATAAATGTTAAACATTAAGAATCAATATCCCCTCAAATTTATACAGTTTTTATTTTTAAAACACATTTTGTTTTTAAAATTAACTTTTGTTTTATCTTTTGTTTTGAATTAAAAAAATGTGTTTATATTACAAAAGAAAAATATTTTTCAAACAATTATTTCGTTTTTTGATCTCTATTTCAGTACTTATTAAAATAATTTTTGTATTAATATTGTAATAATTTATAAAAAGTAATTTCTATAATTATATTAATATTTACATTATATATTGTAAATGTATTGTTTTTTATAATCACTAACAAGTAAGAAAACAACAATTAATATCTTAATTTCTACAAAGTTAATTATTTCAATTTATTGTTTAAAAGGCTAAAAATACTTAAGTTAAACATGGATTGCATTTATATATTACAAATAAAACTGTAATATAACCATGTACTATTACTTATGAATGGAAAACTAATTTGAAAATACTGAATTTGGGAAAAGCTGTACCGGACAATTAAAATATTATTTTTTAAACTATATTTATAATAATAAAAAGTTATAAATCTGTAAGCATTTGATTTGTTAGTGATGTCTAAATTATTCAGTTAATATTTTTATTATGATAATAATGTGCATTATTGATTGTCTAAATGTCCATGTTCAACTGCATATGCATATTTAAAAATAATGTCTAATATTGATTAATAATGACAATAAATTCATATTAATATAAACTGTAACTCAATAATTGTACATTTATTTAGCATTTAAAAGTATTTGTGACAAGTAGGAATATTGGAGCATATCCCGAGTGTCCACTAATAAATAAATTAATGTTAGCTGATATAATATGATTTTTGGAAAGACATTAAGAATTAATCAAGTTTAATTAATTCATAAATATAACATATTTAATAAATTATATAGTTAAACTCATAATATAAATTTAAAAATTTTATACACTATTTAGCTAATAAATATTAAATATTATTTTACCATACATTTTTACAAGACTAAAGCAGGTATGCGGTACATATACAACAAATACCTAGATGATAGCAGAATATAGATGTTAATGTAGGTGAGCTACAGTAGATTGTTTTAAAATGTGCAGCTAGATCACAAATTATTAATAAATAATTGAGTTTAGTTTTTGAAAACAATAATTATATAGTTAATATTAATATTTTAAGCTGTAATATAAATTAAAACTCAACTAAATATCTTATAAGTATTGGCCGTGTAAATTTAATTGGTTCACTCCTAAAAACTTTAAAATATTACTTTTATTTTATTGCACTCTAGATGATAATTGTGACCTGATGGATTTATGTTGTTTTTTAAATAAATTTATTATTAATAAAAAATTAAGTGTTTTAGTTATTACAATTATATTTTAAAATTAAAATACACTAATAATTTGGATAAAATAAGCTTGTTATTTGTTAATAAATTGAAATTCATTATTTACAAAACAATACTGATTGTAATATTTTAGTTTATATTTTACTTTTATGCTCTGAGAGTCCAGAATAGGCACACAGAATATTCTTGACACTAACGGCGCTTAACAGAAATCGCTTTTAATTTTATATTAAATATATTAATTAATATTTTCCTATTACAATATTTTACTCATGACATATTTACTATTGAATAACATTAACATTATATAATAAAAAGTCCATTAAATACATTATATTTATTGGCACGTAATGAAACGAGATGGGAGTTGGACTGCAACACTCGGGGCCCGACCGGTGCGGGTATACACTGTAGTACCTAAACCAAGGGACGTGTTTATATATATCACTGTTGGGCAAAACCAAATGCAAAGGGCTAATGGGCAGGAAACGGGCCATTTGTTTATCATCACGACTATCACCTAGGGTGCAATAAAATAAACATAATTACAGGTGTTTTTATTTTAAAAACCTTAAAAAACCTTAAATAAATAAATTACCCTTAACTATAATTGTAAAATTTTAGTTAATTTTTAATTCATCAATGTAAATAACTTTATATTTTTAATTTTATTATGCAGTCATAATACAAATTATACTAAATGATTTGTAAATTATTTACAATTGCAAATAGTTGCAAATACAAAAACAATCTAGCTCACCTGCAGGAACACCTATATGTTGTAGACATCTGCCCATCTCTAGATCCTCGGCCCCTGTGTCAGTCCCAGCCAAACACAGACTACTGTCGGTTTTACTACCGATACCAACAGTAACAAACTTGGTCACAGCCGCCCGACTCAGCACATACCCGGCCCCTCCCATCATGTATTTTACTCTCTCGTACTGTAGTTTACAGCCAAAGTATAGGAGCTCTTGAGGCGAGTGTGAGGCCAGAAACTGGCGTAAATTTTCCATGATCACGTAGGTATCATCATCGGCCTTTAAGACCCAGTCGTAATCATCGAGATATTTTTCGTGTATGTAACGCATACCCGCTTTAGTCTAATATACAAGTAGTAAAATAATAATTAAGTTAAATAAATATAAAGTATAAATAAATTTAATTTTGTTTGTGTCCAATTAGTTTAAATTAAAATAATATAAATAATCAGGGTCAGAACTATGTTTTTGGATACCTAATTCAATTATTTATAATTAATCTAAATTTAATTAATGTTTATCAAAAAATAACTATGTTAAAGACTAGAATCGATTAAATAATAAATAACAAATAGTTTTTAATACATAAAGAATTGTTTAATTATTAAATTACAGTTTATATAGGCATAAACATAGTATCATACTGTCTTAAATATTAGACATTATAAATGCATACTTTACACCAAAGGTGGGCCCTATCGTCGGTATCGCACAGCCGTACGGCCGGTAGACTCGCGTTGTCTCGTGAGCTGAGAAAGAGGTGCCGATCGCACCGTTTGGCCCAAGTGTTGCGCACGTGTATGGCTTTGGACT